TGGCTAATTTTATGTTGTATTCACCTCCGTGGTTGTATTGATGTTTTAGAGCTTCTATAATACGAAAAATAGGTTGCCCATTTCCCTCCTTCTGCTGTTGGAGATTTTATTAAAACGATCATTTCCGAAATTCCTGGACTGATGATTGTAAAGTGAAAAAGATAGTAACAAGATAACCAAAATTTGACACGTCATCTCAAAATTTGGTTAGAAATTGTAAAAAAATTAAAATAGAAAAACATTTTACAGTATAACCTTGCAAATGATTTAAAGCTAAAAATGGTAAACCAATAATCAAAATGGATATGTTTATTCGCTCCAAAAATTTGATGACCTCTTATCAGTAGACGTCTCAAAGATATGAACGAATAAATGTATGAATTAAGTTTTTTTTTTTGGATAAATTAACCTTATCTCATTTGCTTGAAATTTTAGAAATATGCTACTGTACTATATCTGTTTAAATTGCTATATTTTTGTTTCTTTTTATAAAACTGATAATGTCATTACAAAATTTTATTAGCGAAAACTTTGAAATATACATATAGCATACTTTTTACTTCCTGAGCGTAAGTTACGGAAGTTTTGTAATAGAGTACACCCAGGGAACGGTTACTATCATGTTTTCTCGACGTTGCATGATGCCGAGAGTATGAAAAAGTAGATCTCCCGTTTCCGTCTGTCTGTCAAAGATATGTCTCGATATTTATTAGACAGATAATTTCCGAAACTATTGGACTAACTGTCGTGAAATTTTACATGTAGGTATTTTATAAGTGTTACGTAGATGTTACAACGCTAACCAAAATTTAATTAATCATCCCCATCAAAAATTTGATGATGTCACCCCAAAATTTTATAAAATAATATCGACCTATACTTCTAGTTTATGAACTCACTATGACTTTTTATACTAGAGTTTTGTCAGTTCTTTAAATAGTTCTGGGTCTCCAGAAAGTATCAATTCGTTCTGAATGTTGTCATTGCTTGACGATTTTCGATTTTTCAGTTTATTTATCGCTGTTTTTGGCTCCTCCAATGTTATATAAGCATTTTATTGTTCCTTTCTAAAAAGTTGATGACGTAATTGCAACATTTAGTTATGAAAAACTCACTTGAAATATATGGATAGCATGTTCGTTTATTTGTAGTATAACACATATCCTCACATATCTGTATTTTAACTCACGGGGATTATAATAAAAAAATAAATAAAATTTGTAAAATAATAATCAACAATTTCTTGAAGAAGCTGGATGTTGAACTGTACTTCAGAGGCGAGGGAGTTTCTGTCTAAACAATCTTAAGCAATTTTTTTTCAGTGGTTTAAAACTCCACCTCTACTATCATTTTAACATGAAGAGGTTTTCATAAAAAAATTCATATAAAAAACTGTATTTCTATTATTGTGGCTTCAAATGAAACAATTTTTAAAAAGTGGTAGTTAAAAATTCGGTTAGTAAAATATTTCACATTTTTTTAAATATAATAATAATCTGTGAAAAATGTTTGTCATGTTAAATGCATAAAAAATTTGAAAGTTGAAATAAACAACTCGTCTTTATCCTACAGGATTAAAAAATGCAGTAATGCGAAATAGGGTAAAATTGAATTACGGCTGGGAATAAATGTTATCAACATTAAAAAAAAAATCTTTTTATCAGAAAGGACTTTGTATTTGATTCAAATGACCCTCAAACACAACTTTATACAACATGTAGTACAAGTATGAAAATGACTTATTTTAAGTAGTTTAGTGTAGTTAACAATTCTGAGAAGGTCTACTTTTTGAATAATATTGTACAATGTACAGTCATACAAAACTACAAAACATTAATGATTTTGTAGTTTTAATTTAATGATTAATGATACTGTCCATTCCAGGGACAGCTTTTTCTTTAAAACGCGAGGAATACGTCGATAGGATATCGTAACTTCAAAGTAATTTGAAAACGTCATTTCACTCTATATTTTTAACTAAATTTGTAATATTATATACATATACAAAACTATTCATACAACCGTAAGAGCCTGAATAACTTTTGATGCAACTTTCCGGGAATCACCCTTTTCCAGTTGTAGTTCATTTTCAGTCAGTATCAAATTAGTGGTAATGAATTTCTAATGGTAAATAAAGAGACGTACAATTGTAATCTAAGCACTTCGAATATGACGTATCCGCAACATGAATTCCTATTTTATTTTGTAGGGTGTAGTGATCGACTACAGATGTATATTGTGTTGCATTCGAAATACATTCGCTTCGTACTTCTATGGGAACCACCTGTTTATTTCTGATTTAAGTGGCTCTTTACTAGTTTGTTTAATTAGTCTCATTCACAAACGGTGAATTTCCGACTTTAATGTATTTAGAATGACAAATTGTATCTTCAAAGTTTAATAGTCTACAGGTACTCCAATCACTCTGTATTACGGATGATTTACACTATCAAAAACGTGTCTAAAACAAATCTCTACATTTATTCAAACATATTTAACAACTTTGTTCTTTAAAGTTTTCTATTTTTTTAAATTTAAATTGCATAGATGTATGTACAGGGTGAGTTGGCTTATTAAAATCGTAGACAAAACTTAACGACATAGAAACGTCATTAGCGTCAAAATTTTGAGGAGATTCGTATATTATAAGCTGTACATTCACGTGATTTTAGCCACAATTGAATGTGCTAAAAAATTAGGTTAACACCATAGGGTCACTTATACATCAGGTGAATGTTCATCAACTTTATATCTGTCATTTGTGTCACTCTGTTTTGCAGTGGCAAAAGCTTCAAAATTTTCACAAATCAAGTGTAGGCCATTAATGCGAATCAACATTGTCGTTAAGTTTTATCTGAGATTTTAATTTTCTGACTAACGTTATTCTATGCTAGTACAACTTGACATAAAATTTGGTAAAATGGTCTATTGGAATGTTCAGAAAAGCATAACAAAAAATAATTTCACGAGTCTCAAAAATAAATGCTTCATTACTTATGTAAAAACGTGTTTAGAAAACAAATGCTTTAAGAAAATATTGTTTTGCAAAAGAAAATAAATCGTATCAAGTAATAAATATTGAACTTTATAGAGTATTTTTTTATCAATTTTATAGTAAAATTAAAATTCGTATAAATAAAAAAAAAATCTGTGACGATTTTTTTCATTACTTTGCTTTCTATCAATTATTTCTTGTAAGTGAAGTGATGCTTACATAGAACTCATTTGTCTTTATTCACAAACTAAATTTCCTTAGTAGATGTTCATAAATAAAAAAATTATTCGTTCCCTTTTAGCTAACTCCCCATGTACATTATTTAAATTTGTTGAAAACTACGATAAATATCTGCACAAGACGTAAACTATAAAACAAGCACGTACAAAAATACTCTATTTAAAGTTACTATACAGCTGACAGTGTAATTCACTTCTGTTTTTATTGTAACTTATAGGAGTTATGGAGAAAATAAAATTTACAGAATCAAATTTTATAATTTATCTACGACACCAGACTAAATAAGTATCTACGCTTTACGAGCAAGGGAAGTTCTGTCTAAATAACTTTGCGCTAAATCTATTACAACTTGTGCTATACTTATTTTTTGCGTATCCACTTCAGGAGCTTCGGGTTAAATTTAAAGCAGACAAGGTTCGTCTAGCAAAGGCGTTTTATAGCTCTTAAGTATATGACCTATAACTGTAAAACTGTACGTATACTTCAGGATGTGTTCATCCCCAGCAAAAATTTTATTACGTCATCTCGAAATTTTGCTAAGTAAATCTACTTTAAAATATACAAAATAATCTGTGGTTTAATAATCCACCCTTGTAATTTCAAAAACATTTATTTTCTAAAACCGTTTATGGTATATAAATTTTTTCGAAAATAAGAAACATGCGTTTAGAGTTCTTGAAATAAAGAAAAAATAATAACTAGCATTTAAAAAGAAATGATAATTGTTACTCTTCTCAGGTTGTACCTGCAGCTAACTTTACGTCTTAAACGCGTTTTACGAAGAAAATTTTGAAAATTACTGTTTCATTTTTTTCCAAAAATTTGTAGGTAAATTTTTAACCAAAACTTTTTTACAGTAAAATAATGTTTACACAGCAAATTTAAAACGTACTGTAGGTCCAGAATTTAGAATTGAAAATTACCTTAACCTCTGTTGATGACTAATCAAGTTTTGTTTAATCATAATAATCATATTTTTCTTTTGAGTACTAAATATGATGCAAGCTCCTATAGATAAATCGTAATTTTTGTCGCCAATTACAAATATACACAAATATTGAAATATCAAATTTGTGGAGAGTTCTTGTTCTATGGACTTTGAGTTTTAGTTTACACATTAGTAAAGATTACCAGCTGTATTTCCCCCAAATTGCAGCAGCTGCCAAACAAAAACAATTTACTCCTTTTCTGAAATTCCTATAATAACACTGTTCGTTACATGTGTAACATCATTAAAATGACAAATATGTGCAGTAGATGTTTCAGTAGCTTTTGTTTTATTTAGAGAATTTGTTTTCTGAACAGTCGAAAAAAATAAACACCGTAAACGTATAAATTTCAGGTAAATCCAGCGGTGCATATATATTTGTTTATGTAGTTATGTTTGTCGTCCATAAAATAACCTCTTCGACAACATAATTAATTACTATGTTGATAGGCGTTGAAAAGCAAATAACTTGGTGCCGGTCACCTTTTTGATAATTTTACGGTCCATTGGTAGCAATATTTTCAAGTTTAAATAAATTATGATAACATCATAATTAACATAATTAGTCTAATGTTACAACTATTTCATCAGGGGTCACGTTTTTACAATCTCAGATAACATTAAAGACAACAAATTGGTCAATTCGCGTGTAATATATTTGTGAAAGCTGTCAGATCGTATTAATTTTCTAAGCCGTTGCTGGGTATTTTCTTATCGAAACAGCGCTCAGAATTTGCGAAAATCCCACTTAGCGCGGCTTTCATATAAAGTCAACATTCCCACCGAAAGCTGCCAGTTCGCATTCGACTAGGTGAGAGGAGTGTTGTTCAGTACGACGGGTGAATGTACACGTGATATCTTGTCGTTGCATTAACAAGAATATTTTTTAATCAAAACAATGACAACTAATGGAGAATGTCGTTCCAATGGCGTTATGAAATCGAAACCTAGACCTCTACTGTCGCGTAGTTGTTCTGAAAATTATGAAATTAACGACGTGGAGGTGCCGGGAACTCCCAAAACACCTCGAACTTCCACAACTCCAGGTAAAAAAAACGGTTGTGAAAAGTAAATTCTTTTGTAATATCGCTGTAATTAGAAGGCAAAATTAATTTTTAATGTGATGCTGATAAATATATCAAGGTAAATGTTGCTAAGAGGAAGTTTCGTTGAAGGTTTTAACTTATTAATGCTAATTCCTGTAAAAGACGTCCTAGATATTTAAAGTCGGTTTTTTCAGGTCATGAAAAATGCACATTTCACCATGACTTGGAACTGGACCACAATCCTCCCACTAGGGAAGCCATGCTACCAGAGATGTCGAGGTCGTATCGGTTGTTGCTGGGATCTTTAGGGGAAAACCCTGACCGACCTGGACTGCTGAAGACGCCAGAACGAGCAGCTAAGGCGATGTTGTTTTTTACAAAAGGATACGATCAAAGTCTCGAAGGTAGGTGGTGTTTGAGATACAAAGACCCAACGACATGGTTTTATATTGCTACAGTTTTAACATGGCTAAAATTTCGGCTGTGCTCATCTAAAAGAAAAAAAGTTGGCGATCTATTTTTAAATTAATGTGTCTGTTTCAATAAAAAAATGCAGAAATGCAGTTTGACAAAAATGCCTTTTCACGTCGGTCACATTTTTTTACACATTCTGAAAAAGGCATGGAAAACAAGAAATTAAAGAAAAACCTGTTTCTAGATAAATGTGTGTGCAAAATAAAACCCTTGTAAAATATAGAATAAAAATGATGAGTATGTTACCTGTTTAATGAATATCCGCATTATTACATTTTTTTCTATTAGTAATAGTACCCATATTTCTAGATAATGAAATATGAATTTGTATTTTACTGCTTTAAGCCAACCACAGGGAGAAAATATCGTATTTCATGGGTACGTTGAGCAAATAAGAATAAACCTTTGGTAGTTACTGTAAAATGATCCATTAACAATGGACGAGAGGTAGTGTTGCCATGACATTTGCGTATCTATTACGGTTTTGTATCTAAATACTTCATTTATATCGGGTGTCCAATTAAAAATCCGATCAACAGTGTTTATGTCACCAGCTTTTGTTTTTTCCGTATGTCATTTCCGAAATGAATTGTGAAAACCACTTGCCATATCGATTGTTGTGAATTAATAACCTTTAATTTGAGTTTGACACCAACATGACAACTGTCTACGACATACGGAAAAAACAATAAAATAGGACGCAGTCCTCTTGACCATATTTTTAATTAGATACCTGTTAGTTTTCCATTTTAAAGTTTCATGAGAGTTTTTTGTCTATTTGGAAGTAGAAAAAGTATATTCGCAAATATTCATTCAGATGATTGGCTTGACTCGCCTACGGCTCGTTTCACAAACGTCGTCTTCGTGAATAATGGCTATTATAATTGCTCACATAAGTCATATACTATTGTTATCAGTATCAATAGTAGTGTATTATTTATATGACAATTCAAATTATTATTCACATATAATGTAATAACTTATGTGAAATTGTAGAACTATGGTTTTAGCTAATAGATATGTTTGTGGATATCGACATTATACGTTACTACACACATATTTATTTAATGCTAAAATTCGTTTAAAAAAATTTGAAGACTTAAATACAATTCTAAAACATGTTCGTAATTGTTAATAATATGCAAGATATAAATCTTTTTATAAACTGATATTGTGAATATTAGTTGCTTTTTGTTTCATTGTTTTTTGTATTAAATTGTCTTGGAGATTGAAATAAAGAAGGTTCAAATACTACTACACTTCAAAAATTAAACTAAAGCACAAAATTTGGGGAATCTTTTTTGTGAGTAGACATTTCATTTCGATTTTAATTACTTTTATTTTGTAAAACCTATTCATTTCAGAGGAAAATGTGTTTTTTTAATTTCAATGCAAAAAAATAAATCTAGTTTTGGAATTATCGTTCACTTGCATGCGATAAATTTATTATCTACGTTAATGAATTAAGAACCAACCATCATTGGTTTTTTAACTCATTATAGTGTCGAAATTTCTATAGTAAAAATACGAACGCTAGTTCTTTCAACAAAAAGTAAGATATAATTTCAGTCAATAAGCTTTACCGAAACACCTTGTGAATGTGTATTGTTTCTTTAGAAAAATCTGACTCTTAGATTCATTTAAAAATTATTAAAAGCACAGTCACGTCATACCTACTCTTATTATACCAATGGGAGTCACCCAGACCAAGAAAATAATTGTTTATTTAATTCTTTTGAAACAAACAAAACTGCTAAACAGGAACAAATTATATCTCACCACAGATTACGTAAAATCTTCAGTTCAAATTTTTACAACAACGTTATATCGAAATTATATCAAAAAATCCTGAAATTCATTTTCAAAAACTTGAACCCTTCCACTGTAGCAACTTCTTTAACGAGCTATTGTTGTATTCAGCAAATAAACTATGACTTCCTTATTTTTTTTACAGTTGAATAATGTTATCGGTAACAATCTTCAGACAATTAAATATTTACATTTATTGCTCTTATATTTGTTTTGACTTTTTCAAATAATCAACATTAAATACAGGAGTGGTTGAAAGAACGACACATTAATTTCTCGTTTTGTCATTGAAACACATTTCACATCATTCGAGGGTTATATTCTTGCACAAGATGCGCACATCACTGAAAATGATTACAGCTTATTTTAAACTAATGACTAATTTCTTGGGAAAACTGTTGTTATAACACCATCTTATCACTTTTTATAAATTATCTACGTTATTTGAAGAATCTGTAAGCAACATGACTCTGTATAATCCCGGATTCCTGCAAACTTAAATCACATTGAAATGTTGTGTATGGTTTTGCAATTACTTACTTAATCGATTAATATAAATAAACTAATTAATTTCGTATTGTGCAATTTGTCAAATGTCTGCCCTTCGACCTGAGACACTGATATAAAACATAAAGTCGTTTGAAACGTGCTCACCCTAACTTCCCGTTGCATCGTTTACCCTATTACCTAAGTGAATAATAGAAAAATTGAAAGTACACACATTAAATCAATGAGATGCATACAAACAAACATACCTCCCTCATCGTTATTAAACCACTCGATAACTACATCATCCATAATACCGACATATATTTCATAACCATTCTGGTATTGACATCAGGGTCACATGAGTTGTTGTGACACTCTTCATCAACAAGAGATCAAAAATTTAATCTGTTAACGCCCTAACCAACAGAAAAACAGAATCGCACTTATAGATATAATTAAATCTACTCATTAAACCAGCTTGATGTATCCCATATAATAGCAAATTTGTGAAGTAGCCAATCTCAGTGCTATCACAACATAAACCATTTTACCGAGAAAATTAAATTTCCATTAGATACTTTATGATTATATCGGCAATGAAAACGCACTGTATGTTGCAGTAGAACGAACGTGTCGTCTCCATGGCTACAGTATTCAATCTGCCATCATCATGACACAATCACGATTCTCATTGTTCTTATCCCGACTTGTTGCAAGACGGAAGGATCATAATTCGTCAAGGGAATTCAGTTCGATGTAATTGTTCAATTTCTGCTCAATTTCCGCTAGTGCGAACAAGGGGTTTAGATATCTAGGGTCTTGAGAGACTCGTTTTTTAATTTGTAGAAAAGAATGAGGATCTCTCCGACGATTAGTTCTTTTTTTATTATTAAACTCCTAGCTTTTTTTTTTATTTCAATACTCAACATTATTATTTTAATTTGAAGTGTAGTTTTCTGCATAACAAGCGTCCAAAGCATTCTACTTTCCCCTAAATTAAACTGTATAAATCATCACCATTCCTCTCTATCAGTGACAATTATAGTAATAGATTACGTGCACTGCTGCTTTGAATAAACTATATAAAACCTCTCTGGTTGGAACTGGAAGTGAAACAAATTTGTGTCCTATTTATAGCAATAATATGTCCGCAATAGATTGAACAGTTATTTATTGCTTAGGAAGTTAACAAACTAAGGATTACAATATCAAAAACATGTGCACCTTGTACTATTTTTTCTAATAGTAAAACTGCAGTGGAAGTGGACTTAATAATTTATTCGTTTATTAACCTGTCTATGAAGGAACTTTCCCAATGTTTGATATAGATACTCAGACACAGTAATTATTGCTAAATAACCTTCGTCTACATTCATTTACAGTTCCTTGGGAAATTTGCATTCGGAAGCCGATTTTAATGACCAAATTTAAATCAGTGAACTTCAATAGCGTTAAAATTCTCCTATATCCTTGCACACATTCCTTTCAGTGTAAAGTGAATTATCTACAGGACCTCGACGTTTTAGTGAACGACGTAACCGAATTACCTGTTGAATGAGTTTCAGTAAGAGATGAAGGACGATCGTTGAATGAAACCCGTATAAAGACGGTAATTTCCTGAAGAGTCAATTAGTAACTGCCAATTAAGCTTTCAATGGAGCTTTTCATTCAGTGATACACGCAACAATTGCCTCTCTTTTCTCGATTTCATCAAATTTAACCTTATAATTGAGAAGTTAACCCAGTTTTGATCGTTTTTCCACTTGACATTTGACATTAAAAGTTGGGTGTAGTTGAGTAAAATACAGAAAGAAAATTTCCATTTATTGTGGAGTAGATGATAATGCGGTTAACAGTGAGTGGAGATTTCTAAAGGACTTTGGTCAAAGTAGGCAATGGTTTGAGAACCTCAGCTTCCGCAGCTTAAAAGCTCGAGCGCGTTTCTATGGCATTTGAACTTGTATCACTAGTTTTATGGAGCGGCAAAGACGTACATTACTTTGCATCATAAAAAAAAAGCAACAAACAATTGTCCACGTATTCATTGAAACAACCTAACTACTGGAACAAATATTTTTCAGTGATTTTTTTTTTTTAATTTGCTTAGACATTAACAAATTCATAAACGAGTGTAAACTGAAAAAAAAAGATTACGTGAAAGCGTATACGTTTTCCATTTATCTAGTTTATAGTGGTTCAGAATTTAACATAAATTAGGGGACATGAGTGGCACAGTTGACTCAGCATGAGTCGGAGGTTAGATTCCCAGCCAAGACGAGACACCTTGCCTCTGGGTGTTTATGTAGGTCTTCAATGTCTGGGAATGTGGTGGGTACCCAGGTCAATGAGGGTAACATATAATGGGACAAAACACCTCCGCGTGCTTGCTTCAGAGACAGAACTAAATTAATTCTTTGTCACACTAATGACGCTTTCAAGATTTTATTTCTTGCCAACCGTATATTTTTATATGTCTCCCTGTATCTTAATAAAAGAAGAGATAAACTAGATATAGTCGTGTAAAATTTCAAACCACGAATGTAATGACTAATGAGTATTTTAGGATTTATTTGAAATGGTTATTATGTTGTATCAGTATATGATAAAAACTAAATTTAATGACGAATTCAATAACACTAGTACGCAGGTATAAGTTTTTACTTATACCTGCTTACTAGTGTTATCGCTATACACTTTTGTGTATAGCGATGACCTCATCTGTAACCTTCAACTGTTTAATACAAAATGGAATTATATATAGTTTCATTTATATATTGGACGTAGTTTTTATATCTTGTTATGTATTTTTTCATTTTATAATATTACACAAATCACCAAATGTATAAAGTTTGTCTAGAATTATAAGAATTTTATGGACTCCCAAAGTTATCAATTTTACAGCCCTGTTGTCAGTTTTATTGTTTAGCTGAAGAGCGGGGTGAACTCAGGTACAGAAAAGATCGGCTTTCTCCTGACAGGCTCTTTACCTGTACAATAGAATTGACGCCTGAGCTGTGAAACAAATTAACGTTGGGAGTCCATAAAATTCTTATAATACTGGACAAACTTTACACAGATTTACATAGAAAAAAAATCGTTTCTTTAATAACACTGTCTTGACTGTTTTTTGACGTATACTATCCTCAAACATATTTGGCGTTTATGACTTCACACCAATTTGACTCCCATTATAATTCAATAGGCCGTCACAACCGGATGTCTTAAACCCGCTCACCGATACCTACCTGAAAAGACCTTTTCTGGTAAAAGCACAGGGCAGGACTGAGTTTTGCATTTACCGACAACTGCGCCTTTCGAGTTTTTTATTTTACGTAAAAACAAAGTAACTTTGTACTCAATCATTTTTTATTACGGCACAACTACGAGTATTTACTTATTAACTACTACTGCTTATTTATTGATCGAAATAGTCACTGTCATCATCACTCGACTCTTCTAAATTAATAATTAACGGTGTTATCAACCGTGCCCTGTACTGGTCTTCTTCTTTTGTGGAATGTCGTACACAATTGGCCCACATTTCGGCAGTTATTTTGGAAGCTTCTTCCCTAATTATGTCAATTGTTGCACTACTAAATTTTGGTGCCGTATTATTCCTTCTTATATTATTTTTCATTTGCGACCAGATTAGTTCGATGGGGTTAAATATACAATGGTACGGCGGAAGTCTAATCACCCTAAATCCACGATCTCGCGCCATAGCATCTATTTTATATTGTTTCTCAAATTTTCGAGTGTGTAACACTTCTAATAATTGTGTCTTTGTGTAATTTTCTTCAAAGTATAAATCATGTTCTGTAAGGAAATTTTGAAATTTGAAAATTTTAACGAACAAAATTACTCTGAGTCCGGTCCTTCGCGTCTCGACCGTCCCTGGCACGTCGAAAAGGTCTTTTCAGGTAGGTATCGGTGAGCGGGTTTAAGACATCCGGTTGTGACGGCCTATTGAATTATAATGGGAGTCAAATTGGTGTGAAGTCATAAACGCCAAATATGTTTGAGGATAGTATAACATGCTAGTAGTTAAAGAAGCATCAATTTATATTTGAAAAAATATTAATAAATACTATATATTTATGAATATATACATATAATCTGAAATAAACAAAGGTCCTATAAATCTCTACTTTCTTTTTTTGTATATATAAATATTTTATTTCACTGTGCCCATGTAACATGGGACAACTGATATAATCAGTTTTGCATCGACGATTTACGTGTACCATTTGTGAAAATATTACATCATACGATTAAAAAAAAATGTCACGATAGAAATAGCACGTTTTTAGTTTTTTTTATAGAAAAAAGTTAATATTTTAACGGTAAAAGTAAATTTACTACTCCTACTTAAAAATTGTATTTCTAAGTTTTTCTTGAAATTATACTTCTACTGAACACTACTTACTTATCTAAGGAAGATTTTTCGTTGGCTATTTAATTACAACTTAAAAAAAAATTAAATATAATTTTTATATCACTTGTCAATTTGTTAAAGAGTTTTTACAAAGAACGGGAACAGTTTTTTACACTATCAAAAATCATCAAAACAGATTTAATTATTTTGACAGCTTTAGTTGGCAGTTCTAAGACAAATCCAAATTTGATTCAACATTTTATTAGTATACCACGTATACTTAAGGTAAAAAGTAAGAGTGGATTCGTAAATCACACATATATAATGTCCTACATACTTTAAATAGGATTTACCTACAAGATTTTGAAATGACGTCATCAAATTTTTGAGTGGAGATGATCAGACAAATGAGTATTACAGTAATTCTATAGGGTGTTAATAAATTATTTACATCTCGTGGGCTATGAAATATATTCACTACTGTGTCGCTTTATTTGACTTATTGCCAAATTAATTAATCTGTCAATTCAAACTTCTGCCGTCAAAAAACTGTACTTTTCGAAAGCGATAAATTTTTTGGTCCAGTCGTGTTCACGGGCTTCTAGATGTAAATCATTTATTAACACCCTGTATAGCTTATATTCGAGAAGTAGGTATCTAATGCATTAACTTTCCATATTTTCTAATTAGAATGCATCTGTATTATGAGAAATAGAAATATGAATTAAACTCAAAAATAATAATCAGTAATCGTAGGTTGTGTTAAAATTTTTGATAAAATAATAATTTTGATAAATAATAATAATGTAATAAGGAAAATGCACGTACGAAATTATAAACAAGCACTTTTTGTGTCATATACTGTTGTAATATTACTGACATATAATTCAGAAATCCCTCCAACTGCGCCAACTCGAAACAGACAATTACGAAAATCCGCACCTTACGAAGTGTGTAACAGAGCCACCTAATTCGTTTCTCACTGCATTAAATTACAATACCCTCTCAGCATTTGAAAGTCTTAAACGCGATTTATCTTCCTTTTTAGGAGCAATTTTTTCGAGTGCTTATAAAATTCCACACTCGAATATTTCCGAGTAACATGTTGAGAAGGTAATTTATCATGTCGTAGAGAATACACGGATTTCATTTTAAAGGGTATAATCGCAGCCTCACGTCACTTCCATTAATTGTTGCAGAAGTGCTAAACAACGCGATTTTCGACGAGGATCACGACGAAATGGTGGTGGTTAAAGACATCGAAATGTTCTCCATGTGCGAGCACCATTTGGTTCCGTTTTATGGGAAAGTGTCCATCGGCTACCTTCCATGCGGGAAAATTCTTGGTCTCAGCAAGTTAGCAAGGATCGTAGAAATTTATTCCAGGCGGCTTCAAGTTCAGGAGAGATTGACAAAGCAGATTGCAGTTGCTGTAACCAAGGCTGTTCAACCAGCTGGAGTTGCAGTTGTTGTGGAGGGAGTGTAAGTTGATTTTAGAGGGAAAAATGACTTTGAGGCTATTGTATTCTCTTTTGTGCAGGCATATGTGTATGGTGATGCGTGGTGTGCAGAAAATCAATAGCAAAACTGTCACCTCGACCATGCTTGGAGTATTCAGAGATGACCCAAAGACAAGAGAAGAGTTTCTGAATCTGGTACATTCCAAATAATTTTACGAGCGACGAAACGACATATTTATTAAAATTAAGAATGTAAAGTTAAGTTTAAACACTGTCTAACACGATGATAAATCTGAAATTAGAAAATTTTAACAACGAATATGTTTTCCAAGGTTTCATGTTTCCATTTATGTACGCACATTTTATTTAAATGTTGTTATCGTGTTAGAAGACCTACATTTGAAGTTTTTGATTTTACCTTCTAAGAGCTATATACGTACTTATTTTGAAGTATATGTAGAGCTAAGCGCAAATAGAGGACCATCTATAAGACCAATTTAGACAATACACATGAATGTGTGTTATACCATATTTTTTAAATGTTTGTTTGTATTTGCTGTGATATACTAAATTATATATTGGATATATAAAAAAATACTTAAAATCTCTGCAGGGTTGCCAATAATTATTATTATAAATAATTTAAACTCGATTTTAAAAAGTAAATATTTTACACTTGTTAAGAATAGTACTGACAATGGAGTTTTCTATTCTTTATTACTGTTACAGTATTTATAAACATATTTTAAGATTTACTGTACTATGTTTATTGACAATCAACTTAGAATTTTATGCCTATATGACGTATATATTTAAAATCATATTTATGTAAGTGTGAAATGTTGTAAAAATAAAACATGCAAGCTACTTATGTTCTTTCTTTTTGTTTGAAAAGATATACCTATGTTAAATCCTGAAAAAAAAAGTATAGAAAATAACTCTTTGGACTTGGAGCATTCTGATTTCAACAAATTTACTGAATGTACTAAACAACTCCTTAACATTTAACTCAAGTGGTCGAAGATAGTGGCAATGGACATTTATAATAATAACATTAAGGAATAACAGGTTAAGTTTTTTAAAGGAAACAAAGTATTTTATGGAGGATAATAACGACTAAGTTATTTTTTAATCACAAAATTATTAACCATGGCGTGTTTGCCTTTCATCGAATAGGTACTAGAAAGGTGACGTAAAGGATAGGATCGAAGATAAAGTAAAACAATTCGTTTATTTGTACTCACAAATGAGCAGACAGATGTCTCGTTCAGTTTGAGAAAACAATCAATATACCTAAATGATAACAAATAAATTACCATTGAGGTCAGTAGTGCCTGTTATAAAATTTTCTAAGAAATGTTGCCACTTAATTTTTCAAATTTCAGTTATTTAAATTATTACGTATTCATTATTGTTGTGACCTTGAACTATAAATAAAGAATACAAAACATATATGCACTAAACCGGGGAAACCCTGTTGATAAAACGCACAAATAACCTCCGAATTGAGTGAAAAACATCACAGTATACCGTAAATCGTTATTAATTTCCAGCCAGCAGCTACTAGAATAAGGTAGTGATTTTGGTGAATCTCTAACTTATTCGTTTCTTAGAGTTTTATAATTATAGAACACGAAAATAGCAAAGTTTCCATTTTCGATTTACCTCTATCCTCTATTGTCTACCACTTGTTGTCTGTCTGTTGGTGGTATTATCCTATTTTTTTGCCTCCTGAGCGTAAGCGAAAGAAGTATTGTACATTGATTAAATTATTGCAATACGAAATGCGAATTTTTTAAAATTTCTAAAAATTTCGATATTTCAACGGACGATTCTGGAAAAACGGTTGCAGTTATCAAAGAAACGAGGCCCGATGGGAGTTCTAGAGCTCGAAATCTACAAGAAAATGGATTTAGTTAAGTTTCGAAAATGCCAAAAATTGGCCGAAATTTGAAGAAGGGGGGAATATTGAAAAAATTTAGTGACGTAGATCTCGACATGCTGATTCTAAAAATAGTCACGGAGCAACATTTTCGAAAAACTCGATGTAAGATGCGAATTTTTGAAAATTTCTAAAAATTTCCATTATATCAACGGATTATTCTGGAAAAACGGTGGCACTTATCGAAGAAACGATGCCGGAAGTGAGTTCTAGAGCTCCAAATCTAGAAGAAAATGTCTTTAGTTAAGTTTCGAAGACGTCAAAAATTGGCCGAAATTTGAAGATTAGAAAAAATATCACTTTTAAAAAAGTTGTCTAAAAATTGCGAAAAAATTCAGGGATGTATTATTATTAAGTTTAATAGGAACAGAATCAGTCTTATCTTAGCAAGTGCTAGCCCCGCCCACCCGCCCCTTATTGTCTCAGAGTTTATGTCATTTGTCAAAATGAATTATACCTTTGCAAGTACTAGCCCCACGCACTCTATTATCTCAGAGGATATGGCATTTGCCAAAATCAGTCTCATTTTACCAAGTACTAGCCCCGCCCGCCTACCCCTATTTTCTCACAGGATAGCTCTCTAGAATAGTTCTAGCAAGTACTACCCTCAGAGAAAATAAAGGGTTGGTGGGCGAGGCTAGTACTAGATAACATAAGTTTTATTTTGGCAAATGACATATCCTCTGAGAAAATAGGGGGCGGGTGGGTGGGGCTAGTACTTGGTAAGATAACACTGATTTTGGCAAATGACATATCCTCTGAGAAAATAGGGGGCGGGTGGGTGGGGCTAGTACTTGGTGAGATAACACTGATTTTGGCAAATGACATATCGTCTGAGAAAGTAGAGGGGCGGTTGGGCGGGGCTAGAACTTTGTAAGATAAGACTGATTTTGGCAAATCACATATCTTCTGAGAAAATAGGGGGCGGGTGGGCGGGGCTAGTACTTGGTAAGATAAAACTGATTTTGGCAAATGCCATCCTCTGAGAAAATAGGAGGTGGGTGGGAGGCCTAGTATTTGTTAAGATAAAACTGATTTTCCCTTATTAATCATGTAAAAACTTGTGAAATTTAAAAGTCTTAAATTGCAAATTTCCATTGTAACGAGTTAAATTCCGAAGTCCCAAACTGTGCAAAATATGATGAATTTTTACTTGTGATTAATCATTCCATTCATATTTTTTAGATTTGCTTATACTGTACGAGTCAAAATAAATTAATGAATCAGTGAGTTTATTTATGTATATATAATACTATATACTCTGAAATCTTGCAGAGGTTTTAAAGTTATTGTAGGCATGGTAACTTTTTAATCAAAATATATCTGTTTATTCCCCCTAAAAATTCATGACGTCATCTCAAAATTTTGCCGAATAAATTCTACCCAAAATGTGCAAAATATGAGTTTTTACTTGAGATTTGTCACTGCATTCATTTTTTAGATCTGTTTATGTTGGTGGCTCAAAAAACTCATGAATCAGTCAATTTATTTTACTGATTAAATCAGGAACGGCTCATCCCATTTTCTCAGAAAATTTTGGGAATACAATACTGTTATTTTTCAATTTCCATTTTACACTAAATAAAGTAAGTCAGTGAAATGTAGAAATAAGGTGGGAGGGGCTAAATTTAGCTTTTTTCTAGTTTTTTTAGTTTTCTAGTGGCCACGCCTACTAACCCCTAATTCCAGTGACTACTTTTAATGTTGTTCAGTCCTATCTTAGCAAGTTACGAATCGCTTTCAGGTTTTCTCAACCTTACAATACGAAAATGTAGGTCTCCCTTTTCCGTCTGTCTGTGTCAATTTTTGTTAAGACAGATAATGCCCGAAACTACTGGATCAATTGTTGTCAAATTTTATATTACATTTTCGTGTAGATGCTGACCAAAAATTGTCTAATCATCAGAAGGGGATGGGGCCATAAGAAAATCGGGAATTTTCCAGAGGCGCCAGTAGCCGTGGAAACCAGACCGTTAGAATCAAAAAAATTTGTATGCAATTTTAAGTATAGTAAAATTTGAAAAAAAGGCCCATTCGGTCTTTCAGGGGCGCCGGTCTAAATTGTCCCGCGTTGGTTCAGCAAGTCCCATTCGCCCTTGCTATCAGTGGGATCACGTTATATCCAATATTTACAATAGTAATTAATAATTATTATTTAAATTTTATAAAACAAGATATTCTTACACTTGTGGTTTATGAATTCGTGTTGAGTTTTTACCTTAGACTTCAGATTTTTGGACAAAAATCAAAAATGAATTTTACAATTTAATTTTGAAATGCTCTGAAACCTTGCAATGTTTAAGGTGACCGCAGGCATAACTAGTTAATCAAAAATTATTCATTTTAGCTGCCACTCATACTTTATTTTTAAATCAACAAGATCTGCTTCAAAATCAGTTACTTTAGTAGATGTGTTCGAACTGTCGTAAAATAGTCGTAGATTTTTATTTCGCCCAACTTTTAATTTTTTATGTAATACGAGCCCTAACAACTAAATATTGGGACACCAAAAAATTTTTATAAAAAAATCACCAAACTTTTTACAAAAATGTAATTTATTTTAGATAATTAAAATTTTAAAATTAATTCGTTTTGCAAAACTGTTAATGTTTACAGCACAACAAAAACTGATTTCTAACTCAAACAGTGACATAAAACTCTAAAACAACGTAACATTTTGTGACACATTAATATTGGGACACAGCAAATTCAGTAACTGGTCATATCTCCTTTTGCCTTAATAACTGCAGGAATTCTTGCCATCATACTTTCAACTAATTTTCTACAATACACAGGAGTTGTTACCATATCCTACACTCGCTAAATTTCCCGTTGAAGATTGACAATCGCTTGTGATGGATGATTTCCTAAATATTTTTTTATTTCACGCCATACCGTCTCTGCTAGATTAGGATCTGGGCTATTCGATGATCAGGGCAAACATTTATATTATTATTCTTTGTAATAAGTGTTGTAGGTGTGTAACTTGAAGCATCATCCTGTTGAAAAATATAAATATCAACAGGATAGACTGCTTCAGTAGTTGTTAATATTTTTTTACAAAGTCTCTTGATATTTGTTTGAATTTGTAATTTCCCTTCCATGAACGTTGTTAACTGGTCTTTAAATTCCGTTAATAGACATGCACCCCCAAACCATTTTTCCGCTTGCAAACTTGACTCTTTGTTTGAGATAATCCATATTAAAATTCCTTTTTTATTTCAATAACTCTTTTTCGACTATTATCTCACCCAGACATCAAATTTGGACTCAGCGTTATATATTACTTTTCTCCAATTTTTATTTCGGTCATATTAACCGATTTTTCTTGCGGGCAGTTTTTAATTGTGGTTTTACTTTAGCCTAAAATAATATAAATAAATAATAAAGTCCATCAAAGATAGCTTTATTTAAGATTTACAATGTAAAAACCAAGGCCTGATTTGTGTATGCATTCGCGACAATATTGTCTTGAAAAATTTAGTTGGTTATCGCTATTCCAGCAAGTAGTAATTTCTCTTGAAGGAGTCCGTCGTCCACTTTTATAAATTTTCATCAGTTGTCGTTGATCACGCGGCTTCACAAGTGGTAGCCTACCGGGAATTTTACCTTTTATTCCGATGGTACCTCTGTCTGCGTAATATTTTACGACATTTACCATCGACGACTAAGCTATTTGGAACAAATCTTCACTTTTTCTTAGCGATTTTCCCTTGAGCTACTGAGAAATTATTATTTTCAGGACTTTTACTAAAACTAGCCCGCCGCTAACTATTTTTTTCTAAATAAAACCAACACTAGCATGAAATGCTACGATCCCTATAATAATGGCAGCATTTACCAACTACTACGTTTGTATTTCGATGGTATACTTAGCAAATTTTCTCGGGTGTCCCAACATTTAAATGTCAGCAAAAATTGCACATTTTTTGGTTAGGTGACAATTTTTGCGCTCTAAGAAAATTTATTAATTTGCAAAATACCTCACTCTCTGCCAAAATAGACGCCCATGCAAAATTTGCATTTAGTCCAAACAAATTCAATGATATCAAAAATATCTACCGGATTTTTTTGAGAAATTGTCTGTGTCCCAATATTTAGTTGTTAGGGCTCGTACTTATAAATTATTTTTATTATCAATTGAAAATTAAATAAATCTCATAAGTCTTTTATATCATTGTAATCACAATTTTATGGTTATCAATTTAAAAAAATATAGGTTTGCAATCAGTTAAATTAAGCTTTTCTTATCAAGCTAAAAACAATGGCTTTTACAGAATTTCGATATTTCGATTCGTTTTTAAAACATAGATCTGCGGAATTTTAACTGGTACACCTGTATACTATCGGCGAGACATACTTTTCCCGTTAAACTTGTAAATATGTATATGAATTGGTATATTTCACTTTTTTAGCACATAATAATTCTCTAATTCCTGACATTATATTGAAAAAATTGGCCGAAAGTTATTTCGACAGAACATCCCTCGCCCTTGAAGTACAATAAATTCAGATTTGATTTTGCGAATTTTATTTTTTTATGATAATCCTTATAAGTTATGTAATGTAATCAAGTGAGTTTTTCCATAACAAATTTTTGTAATGACGTCATCAACATTTTTGCAAAGTATATCAATTCAGATAGATGCTAATACTAATAGTAACAGTACTGTATTCAATTTTTTGGGAAGTTGGAGTAAAACTAAACAATTTGTTCCTCAGTAATACAAATTTACACGACTAACTACACGGTAAAAATATAACAGCGAATAATTCTAACTCGATTTATACTCATTAATCAACTCGGCTGGATTAGACTACATTGGACGGTGGTCCCTATTTAAACCCTTACGTTTCTTCTAGATAGATCGCTATTCCCGCTTTCGAAGTTGTTCTGGAGTCCACCATATAGAGACGTTCCGTACATACTACGTCGCACTACGCCGTACCTACATGCTAGAAAATCTATAGAGTCACCCTGGATAAGTAATTGTGCTATAAGTGCCTTGATAAACGACAAATATAGTCATCATATTTTGCATATTTCAGAGACGATTTATTTGGCACAATTTTGAGATAACTTCATCAATTTTTTGAGAGACAGACGGACAGACATACGACACACACACGGAAACGTGAGACCACTTTTTTCGTATTCTAAGGGTTATGAAACGTGGAGAAAACATGAAAGTGGCCATTTGTCCGATGGACTCGATTACTATACTTCCTTAGCTTACGCTCGGGAAATAAAAATCATAAAGCTTCAATTGCTGCATGTCGTTGTTTTTTCTCTTGCAACTCAGTTTTCGTGTTACTTGTTTGAAAAGAAACTACGGTATCTGTGATTCTGAATTCTGAGCTTATCTAACACAAAAAAAATCATTGTTACTTCCCTTTCCTTTTTAGCTTACGTTCAGGTCAGGAAGTAAAAATTGACATATTTATCTTAAAAGGATGCCCCTTCATATCCTCTATCGATTTCGAATGATGAGTAACAAAAAATAAGTACAACCAGTCTACACTGCCAGACAAAAACACCCGGACACTTGATTTTTTTATGATTACCTGCGATTGGTCGAACTTTTATAAAAAATATTCCAAAAGGCAAAACATTAATGAATTCATTATCAGAAAACATAACTTTATTCTAAAATATATGGAAACAGAAAAAAATTAAATGGCAGTATATTTACTTTTTATTATGTTACTCTATATTAACAAAAAAGAGAACTTTTAGAAAACATTTGTTTTCGGTTAACACATTTGAGAATGATTACCTACTTAATTAATAATAATTATTATCAAATGAGTTGAGTATATGATGCTATATGCACATTATTACAATTTACGGCGCTTAAACCATTTCGTTGTTCCACTGGAAATTTCCAGAAAACAACTTCTAGGCTTTTCTCTATTGGAGTTTATTTCGTAAAAATATGAGGTCCCTCAAATGTGACAAAACGCGTCTTTTCAAGTGTTTGTAATCTTGAATTCCTGGACTGAAACCTATAGAATAGTTTCAGAAGCTGAAATACCTTCAAATATACATATGAAGCAAACCATTCCTCTGAAACAAACATTTTTCATTTTCTTTGAAACATTTACCGATTTACCTCCACCGAAAGAGTGGATGGTTTTTCAAAAATTAGTATTTTAAATTTGATTGAAAAATAGGTTTGAAATACAATATTAATGTTGTTAATTTGTGGGATTATATTGAGAATATTTGAAAAGGTATTTGTTATAAATGGATTTATTTTCTCGATTGTCTTGGTTTAACGTTGCTTTATGTGCATCAGAATATTTGTCGCCACCAAATGTGTGATAGTATTAAAAAATATTAAATAAAGCTGATTTTGAAAGTGTGTTTCAAAAAAATGCACGAAAAATATGCAGTTACTTTTAAAGAGTTGACCCTCAGTAACACCAGTTAACACTAACTTTTTTTAAATCTGAGAGCGACATCTGACGACGTTATTGATAATGAGGTATAGAAATCTTTATACCTCTTCAAATTTTTCAAACACATAACCTAAAACTTTTGCAACATCATAACCTGGATATGAATGTTGTAGTGATTTAGGGCGGTTTGTCTATTTTTTGATCCCCGAAAACCATGTCTTGCATATTATGGAAATTCTCAAGTAACATAAATACACGCTCTAGCTCAGCGGTAAGAAACTTAATTAGGCATGGTCACCATCTTCGAGGAAAACCTCCTGGTGTAGCCCGTTCATTAAAACAAAGACTAGAAGGTTTATAAAAAACTACCTTTTGAATACTAAAGTAATTTTTATTATTTTTTAGAAATAAATTACAAGAATCCTAGTTTACATTTTAGAGTTGACATAGGCTTACCACCGCCTGTTGTTTCACGATCCACACAATTAAAGGAACGCTTATCTGTCGTAAAACAACTTAGAAAAAATTCTGAATTAGAAAAATTGGCACGGAATAAGCAACGTAGGTCGTTATTTTGCAATCAAATTAAAAAATACAACTGATTCTTTTGTAGTACTGATTAATTTGGAACAGGCAAATGAAGAGTGGCTGCGCACATCTGGATACTACCACATAAAAAAGTTGTCAGATCACTATGGTGTCTATGAACACTTATTTGGAGATGCTTATTTTTTACCAGTTGTACCACTGTGTGTTAATTATACAAAGGCTGATGTAAAACACCCTGTTTATTTTGGTAATTTAATTAAACCATCAGATGCAGAAACTAAACCTGAGGTACACTATGAAAGTGAAAAGGAAGCACTATGGAGTCTTATTTTGACAAATCCTGATGGACATTTCACAAAACAAGATCAAGAGTACATACATTGGTTTGTGTGAGTATATTACATAAAATTGTAAGTGTTCCATTTGACGTGTTTCACATCTTTAATAGTGGCAACATACCAGGAAATAAAATTGATCAGGGTGAAACCATAGTTGAATACCTGCAACCTTTTCCACCTAAGGGAACAGGATATCACCGCCATATATTCATTTTATATAAACAAGAAAAACGCATTGATTTTTCTGAATTAAAAAAATCGGGCCCTTGTTTAAATTTAGAAGATAGAACATTTTCCACACTAGAATTTTATAGACAGCGACAAGAAGATTTAACACCTGGAGGGCTCGCTTTTTTCCAATCTGATTGGGACTCAACTCTGACAGAATTTTACCATAACACATTAAGTAATAATAAATGTATTCACACATGCAATGTAATATCTGACTTTATTTTTAGATATGAAGGAACCAGTATTTGAATACGATTTTCCACCACCATATATAAGACCACAAGAGTGGTTTGCAAAAAGAAGACCATTTAACTTATATTTAGATAAGTACAGAGACCCAAAACAGATCAATAAGGAATTTTTAATGAGAAAATTGAAGAATGTGCATCCATTTAAAGCGCCGCCACCTCCTCTACCATATCCTAATGCTGTATACTTCAAAGACTCTGTTCCGCAATGGTTGAAGTTGGAAAAAATTAAAAGCAGACTGAAATGGGGAAGAATAAATGAAATTGAATGATTGTAATAAGTTTTAGGTGTAAATAAATCTGTGTCTTTCTAGCCATTTTATGAAATCGTAATTGTTACATCATTTTTACTAGATTAGAATTTTAATGATGCTTTATGACATAACATTACAAAACGAGTTCCCTAACTCTGCTTAAGTCTTGCTTGCAGATGTAGAACTATCATACTTAAGTACCTATTTTTACTTTATATTTATTTAGCATTTAAATGTCAAAAAAGTTCTTGCTGCGTGGATCATCCTGGCTTTGGAAATTTTTGTGAGTCAATTTTCATGTTTAATTTTTAATGGTTGCCTATAATATACCACAAAGTAACTATATCAAACCAGGATCACTATAGGATTTTCAACACATTTTCAAAATATCAGTTAAATTAAGCTTTTCCTATCAAGCTAAAAACAAGAATCAGTTTTGTTAAAAACATTATAAATGAAAGTTTTGCAGCACGTATTTTTAAAAATCCATATCCCAATTATTTATGGTAATTTCGAAAGACGGTTTTCAACACCGGTTTCAACTTACAAAACTCTAGCTAGACATCGTATAAGATACATGTTTTTCGCTTGCTCTTTTCTTGTTTCATTTAAAGAAAAAATCCAAATACCTACTCAATTAAAAAATGATATAAACAATTGCCCGATTTCATCACGGTTCTTTTTAATGAGGGTATAAATCTGGCACTTACAAGTTTAAAAACTGTTAAGAATTGGTATAAGAGATTTTAAGCAGCGATATTGGGAAATTTTTATTACAAAATCAATACCTAATTTCACAGACTTGTTTTGAGTCTCCCAGAGTTTCAATCGATAATTTTCCATACAATAATAAATGATTTGTATTTAAACAATATGTTATTGCAATTTAAGACTTAATCTGAATCGGTTATATGTTTATCTTTTAATAAATGACACTTTGTTTTTAGTCTTTAAGTATAAATTAATGTTATTCCTTTAACCACATTTACGATTTTACCACTTATACTGCTACGAATTTATTAAGTATATATTAATAATTATAATTCTTTTTAAACAGAAAATTACAGTTCGGTTTTAAAAGATGAATTAAGTTTAGAAACAAATTCTGTCATCAACAATACTCCAGGTAAAATGCTTGATAGATTTTATTTACAAAACAATAATCGTAAAAAGCAACTTACTGTCATCATAGATCACCCATGATCATTTTATTTATGCTCGTTAAGGAATCAAGAGTCACCTGATAAGTACAGATTGTGTTTAAATTTAAATGTTGCCTTTGTAAATACTAGAGTTCCAGCGCTTAATATAAACTCATAAAGTAATGACGTGTGTGTATCTACAATTACATGTTGTGTAGTCTTCCTCGCGTATAACCCAATAATTATTTTGTTTTACCTTGCTGCTGGCGTGCAACAAAAAAATACAGTGATGTGAAACAACAAGTTTAGATGTAACAACACCAAGTAGTGATTTTAGATCTTACATCAGTTTTTTTTGACAACTACATTCGGCTCTACTTATCGTAAAATGGTAAGCAATTACGTTGTTTCCTAAGTTAATTTTAACTTGTAGAATGTAGGCATTGTCGCAGTAAATATTTATTAGAATAGGTTGGTGTATAAATATAATAATTACATTTAGCAGGCGCACGTTCATTTTATAAATAAGTAATTAAAATGTAGACACGAGTTCCTGTTTGACATCCCATGATATCTTATCATTTCAACCTAATATTTTTATTCAGCTGTAGCCGTATTTATGGTTATTGTATTAAACAACAAAATGGAAGTTCCTATCACTTATGTTTATCTTTTACCTTGGATATAGTTATCTCATGTAAACTTAAACTCCGTAGGTTTTTAAGTTTAATCAATTTTCACTTTTTTGTACTTGACCTCAACACGTAACGACTGAAGCGTAAATTGATTTCCGTCCTTTATAATACCAGGTGCATTATACACAAGAAAGAATCTATAGGTAGTCACCGAGGCATTACCTACCATTTTAATTTTTGATATTGTGGATTTTGTATATAATTATTTTTTCCATTGTATTAGCTTCTTTCGGGCGATAAATATGTTTTAAAAGGTGAAAGTTCCTTGACCTAACCTTTAGAAGTATTTCGAAATAATGCCGAATATATATATACAGACAATGATTAATCGGTGGTGTACTTAATCACAATATTGCGACTTGACGCAAAATTTACAAAAATAATTAACCCACAGCAACATAGCGACAACATCATTTGGTATTCAAATCAATTCCAGTTTCCTTTACTGATTTGAACTACAGCCAAAATATACAAGTGATTTAAGTTATATAAGATGGTAATGCATAACTTCTGATCTCATCTTTAAAACCTTAAATGATACAAAGAACATTAATTAATAAAAACAATACTTTGTTATTACAATAGTTAATAGCAGGTATTTATTCTAGACAAATATTAACATTAAAAAATTAATCATCGATTTAACGTTTTTAACAAAGTTTCGGAAGGGTGTATTACATCCTACCGGGGATAAATTGAGTAAAATGGACTTCTTTCTTCATACAGGAAGTTAAAAAAATCTAAAAGATTATACGAAATTTCAGTTCTACATTCCAAAAAGGGAGGTACCTATGTACAAAAATGTTGACTTTGACTTCCGGCTTTCTGTAATACTATTAATTTTAGATGTACCGATTTTAAATTAATCTAGCTGATAGTTAAACATTACCCTAAATTTGCTTCCTAATTCGATTCCATAAATTGATAATACATAATAATAGAAATAAACTTGACCTTAAATTTATAAAATAAATGCTCTTTTACATTTAATTTAAAACGGACCCATATTTTTAAGCTTTCATAAACAAGTTATCGTTAAGAAATTGCAAAATGTTCATCGCCTAGCATTTATTCACTTCATCCAAAAACTTGATGACGTCGTGTCGTTTCATAAATATCCCTAAGATGCAATGTTTGTGTTTTGATGATGAGGATGATGAATAAATCAATTTATTATATATTTTTATATAGATCCCAGATAAAATTCCGCCACCATATATCTTGAGAATGATAAAAATGTTGAATTCTGTAAACGTCATTGTTTTTAGCTCCCCACAGAGGTGCTGTGCCGCTGCATTTCGTAGATTAGGTATTTATTTCAGTTTCAGTTAATAACAAAATAAATAAATAAAATTTATGTCCGACTACATGATAATATAGTCGTTATGGAAATATTTAGCAGTTATTTTTGCCATTCCTCGATTATTTTTCACAAATAAAGAACAATTTCACGATTTAAAATGCAACTTGAGAAAACACAACTCGATAGCGTGATTAGATGTTTGTTTTTTTTTGTATTTTTACATTTTTTTAAAAGATTTAATTGTTCCAGTCGGACATAACGCTTTGTATGTAATTCGTATATAAACCGGCTTTATTGACTCGGCTTCTTTATCAACTCTGTCGTTACGCTCCCTCGTCTATTAAAATCGGCTTGTCAATAAAGCCTTGGTTTATGTGGTACTTATTAGATAAAGAGCTATTATAGACATGTATGTATTGTTACGATTATCGGTAATTTAAAATCCACGTGGGTAAACTCAACAATTTATTTCTTACTAACTCAAATTTACACAGAGATTATGTACAAAATAATTCCGGCGCAACTTAGCTGGACTCTTGTCTTGATTGAACTGGCTGAATCATCCATTCCCGAAGATGGCCTCTATTTAAACCCATATTTTCCTTCTAGATGTTTCGCAATCGAGGTATGTCTGGAATAGCCATCGCGACTTCCGCTTCCAGACTTTCTTTAGCGCATGCCGCCCGGGCGCCGTCACCGACAATGAGTCATCATCGCCGTACATACTAGAACCCATAGGCGTCGTACCGGGGCGACGTATGGGTTTTTTTAGTAACAAATTAAATTTAAAAACAAATGCAAGTTGAGTAAAATATTTAAAGGGTAGTTTATACAATACTTTAACCGAGATTGAGTTAATCTCTCATTTAACGACGCGTTTAGCGACGTCTGGTTGACGTAGAGTCGGTCACGTCAGTTAATCAAAAACTGAGCTTCTATACATCGGGTCTTAGGTACTTTTCATTTTCAGTTGATAAAAAAAAAACAAAATTTATATGTATATAGGTATATTAAGAAAATGGAAGTTTGGCGAAGTAAAGAACTCTTAACGATAAAAATAATGGCGTTTAGAGAATTTCAATATTTCTATCCGTTTTCATGATAATGTTATTGTTTATTATGGCAACCAATGTACGCCAAAATAAAAATATGAATGTATCTAATGTTTGAGTAAAGGTAAAGAAATGTGCTAACCGTTTGTTACAACTGAGTTTTTCTATTACAAAATTGAATAGTGATTTATAATCAACAAAATAACGAAATAATTTGATTTTATCAATAAAAAATATGAATGCAATGATGAATCACAAGTAAAAACTCATCATATTTTGCCACTTTGGGTAGAATTTATTCGGCAAAATTTTGGAATAATGTCATCAGTTTTTTGGGGAGAATAAATATTTTTATTATTTTTATAAACAATTTACCATGCTTACAATGGCTTTAAAACGTCTGCAAGATTTCAAACCATTCAGTTTTGCAGTTCTTGATTTATTAATTTTTTTAAGTCACCCTGTACAAGTAGATCTAAAAAATATGAATGCAATGATAAATTGCAAATATAGTTTCCACATTTTAGATAGGATTTATTTGGAAAAATTTTGAGATGACGTAATCAATTTTTTGGGGTTGATAAACAGATACCTTTTGGTTAAAAAGTTACCATACTTACAATAACTTCAAAACGTCTGCAAGATTTCCAAGTTTTGAGTTTTGTAATTCTTGATTTAAACAATAAAATAAATTGACTCAGTCATTAATTTTTTTAAGACACCCTGTATAAGCAAACCTAAAAAACACAAGTCACAAGTATAGACTCATCATTAGAGATGTACCGACTGTAGGTCTGGCCGACTAACCGACTAGCCGATTGTTCGGCCAGTAAAAACCGACTAGTCGGCCGACTGTTCGGCTTTGAAAACCGGTTTATAAATGCGACAGACAGTGTGTTTTTTTTTTCTGTTTTTCTGACTACCTTATAATTTTTTTTTTTATTTATTTTAATAAAAGGAATAACTAAAGTTCCTTTGTTTTCCAAAAAATGTGTTAAATTTGTTTGGATAATATTAACATTTAATTTTTTTTAGTAACTCAGTACAAAAATAAAGAATAACACAATTTAGGGCCAGTTTATACAATATTTTTACTGATATTAAGTTGATCGAGCATTCAACAAGGCCATTAGCGACGTCTGATTGGCGTAGAGTCGGTCACATGGTACTTTAACTCGGTGTTAAAAATTAAATCGCAGTTAAATACTTAATTGTGGTTCTGTAAACCGGGTTTAATTGTTTTATATACTATTTCAATTTTAATAAAAAAAAACCGACCGATCGGCTGTTTAGCCGACCAGTCGCCGACTGCCAGCCGACGATGAAAACCGGCCGAATAGTCGGCTTATCCGACCGGTCGACCACTAGTCGGTACGTCCCTACTCATCATCCTTTGCACATTTAAGATAATATTTGTTCAACAAAATTTTGAGGTGACGTTATCAATTTTTTAGGGGAGTGAGCAAATACATTAATAAAATAAATTTGCGCATTCATTAATTTTTTTGAGTCACCGCCTGTATAAGCAAATCCAAAAAATATGAATGGAATGATAAATCACAAGTACACACTTATATTTTCTACATTTTAGATAGGATTTCTTTGACAAAATTTTGAGGCGAGGTCATCAATTTGGGGGGGGGGGGGATAAGTAAATATATTTTGATTAAAAATTCATCATGACAGTCATAACCTTAAAATATCAGCAAGATGTCAAAGCATTCGCTTTTGTAAATTCAAAATTAAATTGCAAAATGTTTTATATATATATATATTTTTTTTTTCAAAAAATCTGGACGTTTCGGGTGAAAACTCAACACGGAGTCATAAACTACATGTGTAGGACTATGTTATTTTATATAATTTAAAACCCATTTATTATTTTAGCGAACAAACAAAGTTTTTCAAAAAGATGAACAGATATTTTTTTTTTTAGAAATTTGCCATGTGTACAATAACCTTAAAGAGTTTGCAAAATTTCAGAGCAGTCGATATCATAGTTTTTAAGTAAGTTTGTAATGTACAATTTTGAATTTTTTAAATCTAAAAATCTGAGGCAAAAAATGTAAGCGAATTAATAAACCACAAATATAGGTGCCTGTTATTTTGCAAAATTTAAGACTATGAAACGTCGGTCGAGAAAAAAATTAAATTAGCCATTCGCTAAATAGCCCCTAATACTTCTTGAAGTACCTAAGCAAAAATCTGGAAAAGTTATTTACACCGACCTTTTTTAGTCTCTGAAACCTTAAGTTTAGTTGTGTTTTCGAAGCGAGAAAAGTTGGGCGCACGTATGTAGGTAACTTTGCGGAAATGTTGGCTCTTCAAGAGCTTTGTGTAGTATTCAAATATTAATAATAAGTATAATAATAAACAACGCAGTAATCTCAAAATAGGTTGGTATATCACTGGAAAGAGTACAAAAATGCTGACCTTGTTCGCAGATAAAGTTAATTTCTAACCAACTGTTCCAGAAGATTTTTTAATATGTATTTCAAAAATACATACATACTTTGTGATTATTGTTTCCAATATTTTAATTTTAAGTCTTGTGTCTTGTTACGGCTCATGTGTATAAAGAAACATGTAAATTAAAATAGTTACACTTTAATATACTTAACACGAATTTTTTTATACTGTATTCATCACAAACTTCTATTATTCCCAGTAACAATTATTAATGTTTTGTAACATTTAACCTTGCAAACATTCTTCTTATTACGTACTAGAAATTAAAACGACAATATTAATTATCTACTGAGAGGAACACTGTGAATCATCAACAAAAGAATTTAAATTACATCAAACCAAAATATACCATATGGTTGAAAAAAGTTATCTAGTAAACTCTGAAATTTAATGTTTAACAAGTATGTTGGCAACAAAGCGTTCAGTTACGGTCACATAACTGTCAAACACCTGCATTGCCAATATCCTAAAAATAAATTTCATGGCCTACTAGAGACTGTTTTTTCGATTATATAGCATATTTGTTCAGACGAAAATACCTTGGATTCTGGACACATGTTAAAAAAATCACGTGTAAGTTCGATGATTTACGGTAATCGAGTAACCCGGAGAGATATGTATATATTTAGCACAAATGCGACAATGTTACCGTCAAGATAGACTCAGTTACAAATCACCTTAGTTGCTACCTATCTACACCTACACTATTTAGTTAAACTGTTACTAACACAGAAATCTTAATTTTCAGAATTTTAAAAAAGATGCAGAGACTGGTGAGGAAATAACAAGACTGAATTTAGAAACCGGAGAAGTGGAATTTATAATAACATCTAAAAAACTACCAGCAAAGCCCAAAGTCTTCAGAATACCGACATCATGCATGAATCTAAAAAAGAGAGAAGAAAAAATAAAGTTTGACAGTTCTCCTACATTTACAGCGGCGCTTGTATTCCTATTACCAACAACCATATTTTTTTCTCCAATCCTTGGACTCCTGGTTGTTTTGATTGAAGTTATCATTCACGTTTGGGCTCACAGAAAAAATAAACTGATCAGACACAAAAACCTGTACTACCAAAGTCCACTTCACATAATCTGCAAAGAGTACTGCGGAGCGTGCAAAGAAGAAGAATCCAAAATAAAGATAACCAAGTTTCAGGAGAAAAGAGCTGATAAATTTAAGAAATACGGTTTCGAATACTTTAAGAGAATTGTTACGTAGCAATAACAATCGTTCAACACCATTGCCAGGATTTTGTTTGTTTAATGTTTATAAACGATTAGCTAAAATCCTAAAGATGTGACAATCTCACTAATGATTAAAATGTTATCTCAATACTGTTAGGTACGGGTACTGCATGTTCTTAATTTGTAGTCGATAATTTGTTGTTATAGTTGATATTTTAATAAAACACATGTTTAAAACTGTTCGAAAATAATTTACTGTCAATAAAATTCAATATTTACATATAAAATTAACCCTTTCAACGAAAATATACAAATCATCTAAAATTTAATATTTCTTTAGTGGCTAGTCTGCAAATTGTATGAAAATCAACGTTAAGATGGCATCTCCAATATTTACACCTTCCCCAAATTACAGCTGGGTAATTTGGACTCATTACACCATGGAATATTCTAGCCACTGCCTTACCCGTAAAATTATTGTCTCTATAAGTACTAATCAGGCCACGAATATTATTTATAATTAGTTGTTCGTCTATAATTTTATTTTCTGTTAAGGTGATCGCGTCCAATGGATTCGGCGACTCGAAGTATTCCCTAATTTTTATTTTTAATTTATCGTTACCTTCTGATGGTTCTTGCGATAAACACGATTTATACGTCTGTGCTGCCACATCGACAAGAGTCTGATGAACGGCACGTAATTGCAAAAGTGCCGTTTTCTCTTGTTTTACCACGTGGTCATACAAACTGTCCAATGCTTCGTCCAATTGCTCGTCGTCCAAATTTCCAGGAGCCAGAAGTCTAAATCCCAGGTTCGAGAAGGAAACATTTAACATTGACCTTTTCGGTTGACCGTTTACTGAAAAAAAAAAAAAACTACGTAAAAACACTTTGAAACTTTACGAAAACTACTAAATTTGACACAGATAAGTATAAAAGAAAATCAACTGAAATTGTTTTGTGTCTCTGCGCAAATGAAGTATTTTTTTCTATATAAAATGTATTTTTCAACAATTTTTTCCCGTTTAGACAAATGTAATATTGTGAATTATGATAATTTAGAAATATAAACAATAAAAAAATTGGTCCAAGATTATTAAGACAGAACTTCCCTCGTCCCTGAAGTAAAGAACAAATCCAGGTTCTACGAAAAATTATAAAATTTGACTTGCGAAATTTTATTTATTTTATGATAATCCCTAAAGTTAAAAAATATCGATAATACATGCCCGCCATAGTGTATGAAAAAAAGTGGTCCAAGAGGAGATCGAATCGGCGACGTCTGGTTAGTTGGTTGTTCTTATACAAATATGAAATATTTTATTTGTTTTTTTTTTGTGGAAAATTTGGATGCCTAGGTTAAAAAATTGGTTCAAGATTACTTTGCCAGAACTTCCCTGGCTCTTGAAGTTCAGTCCAACAAATTCCGAGTCTTTGAAAAATATAAAAAAACTTCATCTTCTGATAACCTTTATATATTCAAACCCCTTGGTCCACGGGGGCGCAATTTCCAAGGAGCTGCCGTCCGCAAACATACAGACAATATGAAATACACATATTCAAAGCAAATAACCAACGGAAGAGTGTATTATCAAACTACAGGCTAAACTTCGATTGTTTATGCTTATACATCGAAAGAATGTCACATAGAAATTTGTTTAACTTGATTGAGTTGTCTCCTCAAAATAGAGGACTAAAATCATTAATTACCTAATCCACAATGTTTTGAATATAATTATTATTATTATCTTATTTGATCGTAATTAAATAAAGACGTGGGTATTCTCACACTATCTAGAAAATGAGGCTCTTAACTTGATCAATATATAATAAACAATTGATCGAAAGCTGCACGTACAATCCGACAAATCCAGCTTTTTAAAAAAAATTACAAAATTTGATTTTAGGATTTTCGTTTTGTGGTAACCGCTGAAAATTAAAAACCAGCGGCATAGTTAAATATCACCCCTGCAGCCCCTGCGCCGTACGGATAATGTAGAATTTATTTAAAGCACATAACTAACGGGATAAAATGTCCTTCAGCAGTAGGTAATAGCAATCTGAAGTTGCTAAGTGTTTATTTATGTCTGATTTGAATGAGTTTGTCTTCTCAAAACACAGGATCAAAATTATTAATTAAACCACAATCGGACAAAATGTTCTGAATATTATAATTCTTATTTTATCATTATTATAATTATAAAGACGTGCGTATTCTTCACATTTTTGAGAAAATGGGGCGACTCAATATTGATATTACTAGTCACAGCACAAAAGAAAAGTAGTCATTGCGTATTGCAAAAACAAGAAAAAAAAAGTAAAAAGCAAAGTTCGAGATCGAACCCACGACCGCAGGTCACCGTTTTGCCCGACACAGCCACTGCGCCACGTAGACGTATATTCCGTGTTGGTAATATAACGTTATTATACCTTGCAATTGTTTTTGCGAAAATTTGAATGTTTACCGAAAAAACTGAAAGCGGATTGGTACACTACAAGTATAGGAGTATATTTTTATATAACATTCCATTCATTTTAAAATAAAATTCATTGAAATGACGTCATCAAATTGTTGCTGGGGATGATTAGCCAAATTTTGGTTAGCATTTAACCATCTACGCGATATTCCTAACATGTACAACAATCGATGCAGTAGTTTCGGAGATTATATCTAAAAAAAAAATCGACAAGACGACAAACAGAGAAGCAGAGGACAGGCAGACGAAAACGGGAGACCTATTTTTTCGTACTCTTGGGGTCATCATAATGAAACATTGACGAAAAATGAAAGTAGCCAATCACCCGATGGGCCCTATTACAATACCAACAAAAATTGGTGAAAAAAGTATAAAATTATTTTCAACTATACAGACTGTTCTAATTTTGAAGCGCAGCACATATTTTATACATTTCCTAAGTGAATTCTTCTTAGGATTTTATTTTTGAAATTTCGCTGCGACGTTGCCAGGTTATTTCAAATTTCTTAAATTTTTCTTTCCCAAATGTTAGCTGAAGAAGTACTGCATGAGGTAAATGGACACTTTTGTTTTTTGACATTTCATAACCCCTAGCGTATGAAAAAAGTATGTTTCGTATTTGCGTCTATCTGTCGACTGACTGTGTCGATTTCTATTAGACAGATAATCTCCGAAACTACCAGACCGATCGTTGTCAAATTTTGTACGTAGGTATGTTAGGAATATCATAATTATATATTATAAATTTGTCTAATCAACCCCAGCAACAATTTGATGAAGTCACCTCAAAATTGTGGTTGGTGAATGCTATTTTTTATAAAATAACATACTCCTGTACTTATGATTTATGAATCCGCTTCGAGTTTTTACCCTCGTATCCAGTTTTCGCAAAAAACCACAATTGTATACTACCGTTTTATATGAATATAAGATTTGACGATTCTTTGTAGGCTAGTAGATCAGAACGTAGATCAGAACCTGAAAGTCGTGGGTTTGCTTCTCTCATGGACGGCCGTTTTTTTTTCTTACATTGCGACTGATATTATCTATATTGTTTTTTCTAGACAACTGAATATGTTTGATCGTACTGCAAGAGTGAGATAAATTCTGTCTAATAATGTGAGTCCAATTTTTATTTTCCGAGCATAAGCTAAGGAAGTGTTGTAATATAATCTATCAGAGGAATGGCTAGTTTCATGATTTCTTGACATTTCATGGCCCCTAGAATACGAAAGAAGAGGACTCTCGTTTCTGTCTGTCGAACCGATTGTTGTCAGATTTCATGTATGTTAAGAATTTCGTGTAGATAGTAAAACGCTGATCAAAATTTGTCTAATCATCCCCTCCTGCACTATAATGACGTCACTTTAAAATTTTCCTTAAACTCCATTTCAATTTTATAAAATAATACAATATTCTTGTACTTGTGCTTTGTAAATCCGCCTTGTTTTTGTTTATTATTATTATTTGTATTATTTAAGTCTTTTTTAGTCACATAATATTTAGCCCCCTAAGCATGTGGAGAGGCACTCTTTTCTGCAGATGAAAGCTCCGTGGTTCGATCCCTGGCGGCGTTTCCAGTTTTTTTTATTAATCAAAATCAAGAACAGTGTACAATTTTGTATTGATATATGAATAAGTTGTATGTTGTGTTTGATTGTTAAATAAGAGCAGCGGAATGCGAGATAAATATTTGGTGTTTATTATCGGAAGGATACAGATCAACTCCCCGTTTCAAGGCCGGTGGTGGCCCGACCAAGCCCGTGAAGGCGGAGGGGGTAAAAACAGGCACCCCCTGGTCATTGGCTCTCACATAACCCCCCACCTTGAAACAATAGAAGTGTTTCGAAATACAGAATATATGCATATAATATTTTACACAGATCATACAGATAAACAAAAGTGCAAAGAAAGCAAGCAAATTATAGACACAAGTAGAAATGAATAGGAATGTCCAGATTTCTGGAATATAGATCATGGATTGATTAATATTAATCAATTGGCAACGCACACACTTTCGTAATTGCACGTTTAACTACACCACCTTTATGCCGCACTGACACTACACGCACCAGGCCGTCGTTTCCAGGATGTAATTGAGTAATACGCCCCAGCGGCCACTGTAACGGCGGTAGATTGTCGTCCTTTAGTACCACCAATGTACCAACTTCCGGAACTTTGGCGGATGTGTGCTGCCACTTGGCCCTGCTCTGCATCGTAGTCAAATACTCCTTTGACCAACGTCTCCAGGAATGCTGGCGGCAGGCCTCAATCAGCTGCCAGCGAGACAGCCTATTGGACGAAATGGCGGTGTGATCCTTTTCTACGGGGGCGGTAAGCGGATGCCCGATTAAAAAATGGCCAGGCGTAAGGGCCGAGAGATCATTCGGATCGTTCGATAATGGCGTCAAGGGGCGTGAGTTTAGTACCGCTTCAATTCTGACCAACAGCGTGTACATCTCCTCATACGTAAGGTGATTTTCGCCGATTACGCGCTTAATGTGATTTTTCACTGATTTAATACCAGCCTCCCAGATACCACCAAAGTTTGGGGCTCTAGGAGGAATAAATTTCCACATGATATTTTCGTTTGCCAGTTTATTTTTAAAAATCTCGCTTTTAAATAATTGTTGAAGCTCTTTTCTCGCGCCTACAAAGTTAGTGGCATTGTCACTAAGAACGAAAGAGATATTTCCGCGGCGCGAAATTAATCGTTTCAGGGCACTAAGAAATGAGTCGGATGTCAGGTCGCCTACCAGTTCGAGATGTACTGCCTTTGTACTTAAACAAATAAAAAGGCAAATATAGGACTTAGTGGTTCTTTTCCCTTTTCCGCGGCCTTCTTTAATTAATAAAGGACCACCGAAATCAACCCCTACCTTGGAAAAGGGACGTGAGGACATTATCCGCTCTTCGGGAAGATTTCCCATAATTTGACTGTAAGGTTTTGGATTGGTCCTATAACATTTTAAGCATTTACCAATTACCTTGCGAACTTGACGCCTGCCAGAAATCGGCCAATATTTTAAGCGCATTTGCGCAAGAGTACCTAATTGCCCCGCATGTAGTAGGCTTTGGTGTATATCTTGTATTATTAATTCGGTTATGTAATGTTTGGGCAACAAGATGGGAAATTTTTTATCAATTGGTAAAGTTTTGACATTGCTTAGTCTACCCCCCACCCTGAGCAAATCATTAGAATCTAGAAACGGATTAAGTTGTAAAATACTACTGTTACCAAGTTTTTTACTGTGAGTCAACTGATGAATTTCGGAGGAGAATGCCTCCTTTTGAACTAATCGGATTATCGTAATTTCCGAATGTTTCAATTCTTGCGTTGTTAAACTGCCCCTGATTTCCGGTTGTTTTTTGACCCTATTCC